AAACTTCACTTTTAAGAACATTGAAATGGTTACTGTTGTAAATTGCAATAAACAACTATGTAGTTTGTAAATATAATACTTCTTGTTGGTTTTTGTCTTAATAATACAGCATTTAAAAGCACCCAATCCATTCTAAAAAATGCACCAAAAATCCAGACACTATTTATGATATATGCATTTCAAGAAAGCATCATAACTGAAGAATTTCAATTATTAAAAATGGAAAGTGCAATAGTAATTAATAATTGATTTATTGATATCTATACATTATACCTTTATAAATCCATTGTAAATCTGACCTGAATCAGTCAGTATGGATTTAAGGATGGGGAATGACATCATGTACTACGATAAATTTTGGGATCTGAACCAGATTTGATCTTGGATCACCTATGGAGATAAGCCATAGTATTGTATTGTATTGTATTGTATACCTTATTGTATGGTCAAAAATAGTGATGAAAAAAAATATAGAGTATAAATTTCCCATACAATTGCAATTCTATTTCTCATCAATAATAAACAAATAGAGAATTAATAACAATCAAATTTATCCTCTTACAATCTGTTTTTAAGAGAGCGAGTCAAAAAAGAGTGAGAATGAATTTATTATCCATAAGATACATTAGGCAGGATCCAAGTTGAAATGGTTTTTATCAAAGTAGTCCCTATGGAGTTGTATACACTTGGCTCAACATGTCTGCCAGTTGTGGAAGACATGCTGGAATCTATTGCTTGAAATCATCTTCAGAATGTCTGTTAATGAGCTGAAACACTGGCTCTACAGCTCTGATTTCAGATGAGGGGAAAAAATATGGACTGTATGGTGTGGCATACATTTGATGTTTGATACAAATTTTCCAAGGTCCATCAACTACTGCTTAGTATCTGTTACATACAAATGTCCCTGTATGTAACAGATACTGAACAGTATCACATGACAATTTTGAAGACTCTGGCCAAACACATCTGATGAGAAAGTCCTGAACTGCATCCATCTGGTTGGCACCTACATCATGATAATTCAAGCTCTCACATTGCCAATATTGCTGCCAAATATTTGGCCTAAAAAAACATGAAATGTATGTCTGGAATTCTTTGGAAGCAGGAATTTCAGCATTTATTTTTAAAAATTCATCTTTTTGGAAGCAGTTTTTGAAGATTTTCTCTGATACTTTCTTCCAAGACATTGCTAGCAAATACAGTGCATCAATAAGGGAAATCTTTTTGCAATTGCACTTGCATCAGATTGATCTTGAATTTCATCAAATTCAGCTGTAATATGCACATGAATTTGCCTATCGCAATAAGTTTTTAAAGTTAGTACAATACCTTGATCACTTGACTCAATTAGCAATGTACTGTTTGAAGGTATGAAGATAATTTTGATGTTATTTAATGACAAGTTGTTCATTTGTACCATGTAGTTGTCTACTAAAAAGACAATTTTTTGCTTTAATTCATGATTCCACTTAATAACCAATTGTTGAAAATGACATTTGTCATCCAAACATTCATACTACAAAAGTAATCAACAAGCAAACTTCTTATATCTTTAAAATACCAAGAATTTTTACTTTTCACAATCACCAGAAGGTCTGGCTTTTCACCTATCATATTAACACAACAAAGGACTATCACTAGTTTTTTTCAAAAATTTAAGTTCTTTAGCAGTTTCATTTTTTAAACAAATAAGTATGCTCGGGCATTGCATGAAAGTAGAGTCCAGTTTCATCTGTATTATAAATATCCTTGGTGAATATTAAGCAATAATTTTTGTCCACTCTGTCTTTATCCACTCATTAACTGTTAACAATTCAACACTTTTTTCTGTAGAAAAAAGTGTTGAATTGTTAACAGTTAATGCCATGAAGATGTTTACACATGATATTCTCTTGCTCCATAGTTTTTATTAGTTGTTCTACTTTTTGATGCCTAATAGAGCCATTAACTCTTTTCACAAATATTACTGAACCAAATTTTTAATGCTGAATCAACTTAACCCTCCTTTCAATTATAAAATTTTTAAATGCACAGCCATACTACAAATATCTTTAAACCCGATATACAATAAAGCTACACACCAACAGAATGACGAAAATCTATCGGGCTAGTTTAAGGCTAATTACTAAATAAATTACGTAACCAATTTGGCTCTAGAGGTAAGCGTTAGGCGCCATCTCTTATTAACATTAATAATTATAAATAAATAAATTAATTTAAATAATTTAGAACTGTTGATGGTTATATAGTTAGCTTCTATATGCTGGAAGATGAGATCGGACTGGAGGTCCGGATAGCGTAACTGGCAACGCATCTGCACAGTAAGCAGGAGTTGTGGGTTCGAGTCCCGCTCCGGGCCAATTTTTTCTCCCAGCAGTTCTAAATTATTTAAATTAATTAATTTATTTATAATTATTAATGTTAATAAGAGATGGCGCCTAACGCTTACCTCTAGAGCCAAATTGGTTACGTAATTCATTTAGTAATTAGCCTTAAACTA